AACAGAGAACTGTCTGAGAAGTGAATGCATTTGAAGTTGTTATCACTCCAGCTGTAGAACGCAGTAGGTAGAAGAGCATCAAAGCAAAGGAGGAGAAACTTTACCCCAAAGCTTCCATGAGGGACAATAACGACTGAAGCATATGCAAATGGTTTTGTTTTAATTAAAACTAATTTAACCAGTAAGCTGTATATGAAACCAAACAAATGTATGTCCACCAAATCTCTCCTTCTTGAGCCATTATGTTGACTAATAAGCATTTAGCATTTCCAGCGTCAAACCTCTCATCAATCTCCTCCTCTCTGTACATCTGTGGACGTGCATGCGAGCGTATGTGCGCACCGTATTGCATATGCACGTTGACCCCCAGCAGCTGTGCTTTCCCCTCATCAGTATTCTGGGTGACAAAAGGGGGCTCTAGGCTTTGCTGAGCACAAAATGAAAAAGAACAGGCAACAAGCCTCTGGAAGTGTGTTCTCTCTTAATTGAAGTTCCCCTTTATCCAGACGCTGCACAATGTGTGCGTATGTCCTCCAATATGTCTCCCCCGTCCAGTCCCTCAATCCTCCTAATTGGGTCTTTCAGTCCCCTAATTAACTCTGTCAATGCAGGTTGGGCCGAGCCAAGTTGGGATAAGGACTCGTCTATTGATCTGTATCTGAAGCAGTTAACTTATCCATCTGTCTACATGAGCACGGATAAAAGGGAGATGTGTAATATCACTGCATCCTTTGTGTGGTTAAAGATGTTTCTGTCTTTGACTTTTGTGGTTCTTGCATATCAGTTGCATAGATGAGTGATTAAATAAATGTATTCAGTCTGAGGAGTAGTAAAGGGAATGTAGTTCTATGTTGGTATGTGTCCACAGTCTCCTCCATGTAAAAAACCATCCATTACGGTGACTTATTAAATCCTGTTATAGAAAGTAACTAAGTACATTTACTTGAATACTGTAATTAAAACAGTTTTGAGATACTTAAGTAAATCTTTTATCTGCAGCTTCTACTCCACTAAATGTATCATACTTCTATAGCTGATACTTTAAAGATTATTTTCCACATAAAGACAATAAATAGCTTCTTTTACTTGATGTGAAAACATTCTCTTTATTATGTTCAAGTTTGGAATGAAGTCCTTAATTTATTGGTTTGTAATTAAAAATTCAAACTGAAAATTTGCAATTGTAGAAAAATGTTCAATCAGTTTTTAGTGCAGTACTTTTGTTACAAGAATTTTCAACAATAACCTTCTTTATCGTTTAACCCTCTGAATCCCTCTGAGTGTTGTTTTTAAAAATCTCCAAAATGACATTATTATCAACAAGAAACTGTACACAGAAAGAATCCAAAACAAAATCTAAGCTTGAAATTAAGATTTTGAATCAAAATTGCTTTATCTGACAAGTCTCATTTTAAAAAATTGCCAAAAACAAAATGTTTGCTCGAGCCAGATTCTGTAAACATTGAAAAAATCCAAAACCATGAAACCATTAGTGACTCAGCTGTGACCACGACAAGACGACTGAACTGCAGGTTGTGTTTATAAAAAGCAGAGAAGAGAATATAGTATAAGTATAAAAAGAGATTTTTAAAAATGTAAAAACATGGTGTCACGTGACGCGATGCGAGAAGAAGCCACGGAGTAGGGAGCTCCGCAC